TCTGCAGAATAGAGATATGTAGATGATACCATGCTCACCTTCTAACGCAACTATTTCCTGTTGCTAATTGTGGATTCCTTCTAAAATACAACAGCAGCAGCAGACTAGTTCAATAGACTATTAAACAAGTTGAGGTTGACTAAAATTCATTCTTCATATCCACCCTCATGGGTTCAGACTTTTATCTCACTGACTGATTGGGCAATATGGAAGTAAAGTCTTCAAGAATGAAAAATGTGGAAAAGGTGCTCTGCTTTGCATGGCTGTAGAGCCATGGTCATTAAGGGAAATAATCTACTAGAGTACAATGCATCCTGTTTAAGAAATGCTTCGGGAAGTGGAAGGCAGAGAGGTAGGCAGTTCAAGATGGCCTGATTCTCTGTCCCACTACACATTATATTCTAGATGTCAATGGAATCACACAAGCATAAAACAAAGTGAAAGTGAAGAAGCAAATCCAGTTTGTGACTGCCAACACATTAAAAGCTTTTGCACCATATTTTGTAGGTAGTGGAAAGAAATGCTTTTATGGGTATTTCCATTATTTTCTTTCTAAGCCAATTTACCCTGAAATGCCTCTTCTTCAAGCAGAGAACCTTATGTAATAGCAGACAATATTTTGACACTTTCAAGAGGATGATAAGAGCATTCAAGTCTTCCTAAGATTAAAGTGAAGTCTGCAACTAGTCTTTTCATTCTATCACCATCTGTTGTCTCTTGCTATATTCAAAGCAAAGAAAATGAAGATTACCTATCTTGGTAGGAGGTTATGGAGCTGAAAATGAATAAAGGAGGAAGAGACCCGAGCAACTTTTAGAATATTCATCTAAAAGGAACAAGCAACGCATCTTGAAAGTAACACTAGCATGAAGGGCATTTCTGGATAAATAATGCTCATGTTGGTTAAGAAGAAAATTACTGAAAATCTTGGGTTGAATAGTGTCTTCATCTCATCACATTTTGAAATAGAAGAGAACAGCCTAGATGACCTTTAAGGTCCCTTCCAACTCTAACCATTCTATGATTCTATATATAAAGCAACGGATGTTATTGCCCAAGTAGAGACAGGGAGATGAAGTGATGATCCACAGAAGAATCAACTTTGAAGGAATAAATGTCCTCAATTATGTATCCTCTTATCTTGAAGATGGAAAAATTCTTGGTAGACTTTCCCCACTGACAACAAACAGCAGACATACTTCAACTGAAAAGTACTTGGTCCCTAATTGTAGTAATTCAGACTGATTTAATTCCCTGCAGGAGCAAATACTTTTCTTTAAACATCTTTGTCTTTAGGTATTGAAATGGTGCCCACAGATGTGGTCTGAATCACACGACAGAAGCTGGGTGCCTCAGCTGATTGGTTTTGAAATCACTTTGCCAATATCTATGCACTCCTCCTCCCACTTTCAACCCTTAATTTCTTAAAATACTTCTAACAAACAGTTCTTACGAACATTGAAAGAGCTATGTACATTGCAAGATTTACCCCAATCACTCCTGTGAAATAATATTTTAAGAAAAATAATACATATTTTTTTCTAAAGTTTTCATATTTAAGGAGAAACCACATTTCCTCCTGAAAAAAAATCTCTTTTGAAATGCATTTCACATTCTTGTTTTTAGTAGAAGCCTTTAAAATTGAAATAATGTTTCCCCATGATAACAACAGCACGAGAGACCAACACATAAAATAGTTAAATCCTACTAAGAACATGAGAATGCACCATATGCAGCCCTACAAGGCCCAGTAATCTAATAGCTTGCATAAACTCATTTGAAGAGCAGGCAACTACACTTAGGGAAACAAAATAGTACAGCAAATGTATTTTGCAAATATATGAATATAAATCTGCACCTTTGTGTTCTGATATATGTATTCGCTATTGAGGTTAAAATTTTTGCAGCTATCACTTGAAATGAAACAGGTCAGAAAAGAGAATTTACAACAGAATCAACTGTATTATCTGGCATTTTGTTCTACACTCAGTTAATAGTTAAATTATTACATTTCAAGTAAATATAAAAATTCAGTAGCCATATGGTAAAGAGAAAAAATTCCATGTAATAAGAGTGTTGCTATACTGTGATATGGACTGATATATAGCTGATGTATTTGACATGTTTGCATTTATTTTTCATCGGTGACTGCATGCTGTTCCGATATTTGTTTCAAGTATTTATTTCCAAATCTTCATTATATTTTCCATTTTTAAGTGTTTTTACTTGGTGCAAAAAAACAATCCTACACAGGGTTATCAACTTAAGGAGCCGTAATTGGGTCCCACCAGCATGACATCATCTTCGTCATGACTACAAATACGTTTAGACTGAAAAAAACCAAGAAACACTCACCTGTTCATGTCCATTAGACACACTTGTATTAAACTATACAATTTCATTTTGAATAAGTATATTGCATTACCGGGCAATATAAATTTCTTGGCATTAGCTGTCATTAAGTAGCAATACTCAAGTTGGGGATAACCAACTAAGAGGTTAATATAATTTATGCTGCACAGTGCAGAACATCAGTTTAAAAATAGTACTTCTTTTCCTGTGTAAAAGGGTATGTACTAAGCACTTCCAAGAAGTGAACTCAAGTAGTCCCCAAAGAATAGCACGACAACCTGAAATAAGTTCTTGTATATAATTTTTTTCCCCAAATATCACTTGCAATAAAACAAACAAGACAAACACCAATACTATAAAAGAAGAAAAAAAAAATCACTTTTAACATATTTTTATCGAATCCATAACTGCTTTGTCAAGGTAAAAGGTGACCATTTCTTACCCTGAAATGGCATATGTATCACATAAATAAAACATGGCACACTTCTTGTATCCGTGAGACTGCAAGAAGAGAATCTGAGAAAATGTATGTATACCTTTTACATATATATATATATAAAAATTTGGCCATTTGTTTCAGAGTTTGGAAAGTATTCATTATCTAATCTCTATTTCAAATATTCATTCATCTAAATGTAGGATTTACTCTAATGATAATGTAGTGCTGTTTAAAAGATGAACAGGTTCACACAGTATCAATTAGGTAATGTTTCCATTCCTGTTCTCAGTAAAGACTAGGTGCAATTATGACTATGTAGTATCTGTGAACGCCAGTTACTTACGGTGAATCAAATGAAGGGCTATTTTCCAAATGCTTGTCATTGCTCGGCATTTCTGGTAGGCCATTTAAGTTGTTTTAAACATTTTTTTTTGGCTGATGGACATTATAAATAAAAACTATTCTGTAACTACCGTGGCAGACTGAATGTACTCTATTTTGAATAAAAAAAAAGATTGCAGGATGCTCTAAAGCACTCTGAATACTTCAGCCCAACCAGAACACGCCTTCAACCACTGTTTCTGAAGGAGTGTACCCAACAGGAAGTACATCTCCAATTTATTTACTGTTGGTCGTAGACTCTGTTTTGTGGAAAACCTCCTTTAAGAAAAAAAAAAAAAAAAATAGAGCAAGAGAAAGCAAGATCAAATTAGAAACTTATCCACAATCAGAAAACCTGTGGCTGAGTTACGAACTAAGCTATTATTTTAGGGAGACTTTTTGAGACTCAGTCTCAAAACAATCCGTCCCTATGTAATAAGTCTCATGTGATGGATAGAGTAAAGATGGAGAACACCTGTACACTGTAGACACTTCAGTCTCTCTTGATTGGCACTCTCACCTAGTCTTTGAATTGATGTTGAGAACACAGGCTGTATAGATCCCTCCGGGATGCAACAAATGAGGACTCTTTCATGGAGGAGCAGGTGTCAATAGTGACAATCATTTCAGTGCAATCGCACTAGCTGTACCATGTTCTTATGGTGAAACAGAATTTTATCATTGACCGTATCAAATACATAGGAAAATCCAGCTGGGTTAATGTTAATGCAATGCAATACAAATGCCCAGTGATGCAAAAAAGACTAAATCCAACCAAGAGAAATATCAGGTTATTAGTGCTGTGTAGGCTACAGGGTTCCCACCATTCCAAATGGCCATCTTGGTCAGCAAAATTTCAAAGAAAAACATTGTTCTTGGCTTTAAAAGGAGATACTTTGGTCTTATCGAAAGAGCAAAATTCAGGGGCGTAAAGAGAGAATTGATACTCGGGAACAGTTTTAGTAGATGCCAGAAGAGATGTATGCATTTTCTTATTCTAAGACCAGGTTAACAGCTTCCAGTTACGTCTTGCTGTTGTTATTTGTGTTCACTCAGTTTTCCACACATGGCAATTTTCCTATTTGGTCCTGTCACAAGTGAGAAGCTGTACAAATTCAGGGGACAAATATTTTGAGTCAATCACACTAAAAGTTGTCATTAACCAACAATCATATCAATACCACTGACATTCTGTACCACAGCTTTTGGATGAAATGGATTGATCTACAAGTAACATCTGGAATGTAGACAGGGCCAACGACTTTCTTGGCTGATCACTGTTTTTCCTTGCATATATATATATAGGAAGAACAAGGAAATGTTCAATTTAAGGTTCAATCTGCATTTTAAAAGATCTTCATCCAACCGAAAAAAAAAAGGGTTCTAGGTTTAGCTGGATATCGTAGGTCAAAAATTAATGTAGGAAAAACCAAGCTGCTTCTCACAGATGATAAACCTGAATAAGGCCACTTACTTTTGGAAACAGAAACAAAAGTCAAAAAACCATATAGATGCTCTTGAAAGTACTGTGCTTTAAAAGCCTACCTTTTCCCTTTGAAACAAGACCAGGAAAAGACAATTCCCCCTAATTGTGTGCAGTAAAGTCTAGATAGTTGATTGTTCTATATACATTCAAAGAGTTGAAGAGTGCTTACAAGTGCTCAAGTTAACATCTGCTTAGGACTGTATTTTACAGTACAATTGGGTACCTTATCTGTTAAGGGGGTGGATAATAAAATTTTCCCTAATATTATCAAACGTTCATTAATTTGGAACTAACAAATTCATATTAAAAGATGGTTCCACTATGAATGACATGTACTCTTACCTGTGTATGTTATCTTGACCAGAAGGGACTACACCCAGGTTTGCTACCTTCACCACCCTCTCAATTATTACAAGTCTAGTAGAGTTCTGTGGAGCAACAGCTATTGTAGCAGATGTCTCATTCATTCCTGTCAGCATCCCTGAAACATTAAGTATTTCATTATGAATACTTTAAGATTTGCTTGCCTATTAAGCATATAACCAAAATAAGAGACTTCTAAACAAAAAAACACATTTGCATTGGAAGTTAAATCATTCGTCAAGAAAACAATTTTATAAGAAATTATATAATTACATTAGCTTAATGTATTACTTGCAATGCCCTATTATTAGAAAGAAATCACTAATAACTGAACAGTGTTACATGTGATACTAATGCAACTGTGAAACCAATATGGTTCTTTTTTACAAAAAGCATAACTTAAAAGAATGTAATCACAGAAATTAAATATTAAGTAAGACTGATTTGGAAAAGCCCAGCTCAAGTATGACCATATACAAAAAGCATAACTTAAAAGAAGAATGTATTCAGAGAGATGAAATATTAAGTAAGACTGATTCGGAAAAGTCCAGCTTAACTAAGACTATATACAAAGACATCTTCTAATCTTTCAATCATAAAACCGTTGCATTTAATTATAAATTCATATCCAATTACTAAAAATAATCTTGAAATTCAGATAGTAGTCATTCGTTCAGTGTAATTCATGAAGATAAAGTCATAACATTAGAAACTGGGAAATTCAGTTAGCATCCATCTCTAACATGTCATGATAAACTATTTTATTAAAATAACTTGAATATCACTACAAAATGGAACAGAAATGTCAAGATTATACCCAAACATATGACAAAAAAGTAAAGAAGGAAATGCTGTTCAAGGTCATTTTAACAAAAAAACTCCACTTTTCTCCTCTATCAACATCCATTGTTTAGAAGAATGATTTGCCAGACGCTCATGTTGATTAAAACCCAACAGTAACTATAACTTAACATTATGTGTGTATTTTTACACTATGTTCAGAAGCTGAAAATGCAGACAAACAATGGAGCACAGTAATTTAGGCAGAAATATGAAGCATCTGCAATCCACAATAACATTAACAATGAAAACAATGCAAAAGTCTCAAAAGGCTAATATTTTAGGGCTGCACATACAGTTCTAACCCCAAGCGAATGGCACTAAGATGTTTAACAGAGCAATTAAAAAATAAATCAAACATTTTAATGCAGTAGAATGTGCATTAGCTGCTGTCACAAAATAAGAAATACTAAAAAATATTTAAAAGAAGAAATGTTAAAAAAAAGGAAACATTTGAAAAATGGAACAGCTCATAAGTAAATAACGGGATATTTTTGAACATGATCTGCTCTTGAAGAGAACAAAAATAAGCATGCAACTTGTATAAAGATCAGCTTTATCTTGGGAATAGAACATTCTGTTTCAAATTGTTTAACTTCACTATTAGGCAAAAGCTTTAAAAACTACATACGCAGACTAAAACTGCTTTTAAGCAGAGCACAGGGACTGACATAACACTGCTGAGAGATGTGTGTACTCATTTAGGATTTAAACCTTCTCCATTAAGCTCTATTGAAGAGCAAATGCTGAATAAATGAATGCAACTATGTTTATGTTAAAAGCCTGTTTCCCGCAGCATGTAATTAAAGGAAATGTTGTACAAAGCCAGTACTTTTGTCAAGCTCCTGTAAATGGAAAGATGGATAGCACTCAGAGAAGTGAATGCATTGCTTCATATTTAACCTTAACACTCTTGTCATTAATGGTTTGTCTAACTTGTTCTATAAAAGACAAGGTACTGCTCCATTGAAGTAAAATTAAAAAAATCAACTAAACCATGCTTTTCAGAACAGAAGATTCATTATCGTCGACTAATGTATTGGCATAAAGCAAAGTAACATCCTATCAAGTAAGGCACACATTCAATCTGCCTTTTCACCCCCCTTTATTTTTAACTCATGCTGTTTTATTGTTATAGGCAATTTGTACCACTCAGCATGACAGTGTAAACTGAATCAAGATTAATTTACATGCAAAAGAACACTTAGGAGAGCAGCATGGTAAGCAAATGTATTGTCTCGATTGCTGAGGTGGAAAAGAACCTGGAAAGAAAAAAGGGTGCTCTAATTAAGGGGCATCAAATATGATTGCTCGTGGTAGTCAAGGGCCAGAAAATAGTAAATGTCCAACCATTTAAAGAATTAGCATCTTGCTTGTTAGGAAAACAAGTTGGATATATAAATCTTAATAAAATTAGGTAAACAATTTATTTACTTAACCAAGGTGTTTGGTTTTTGTTTGTTTTGGGGTTTTTTTTTGATTGTTTGTTTTTACTTTTTTTTAATGTGAATCAGGTACATAGTTTTTTAAAAAAGTAGACAAAATTATTTTAAAACATGTCCATAGGGGAAAAAAAATAGTCCTTATGCTTAACGTAGTTTTAACCGGCTATTTTAAAAACACCTTCATAAAAATTCTGATTAATATCCAGCTATAACAATCGCATGCCAACTTTAACATTGCTCGAAACATGAGAATTTAAGAAAACTCTAGTCAGAGCACAGAGCAGCAATTAATCTGGGTTAACTAACTGATACAATGACACATTTTTAATAATAAAAGGAAATGAATTTGGAAAAATTACACTGGTAGGCAAAAAAGTATGCTAGCTACCAGACTAGTCCTGTGCTGAACTAAGGAAAGGGGAGTTTTGCTACTGACTTTTAAAAACAGCAGACAAGTAAAAATCTGTATACACAGAGAACCCAACAGTACATGTCTCACTCATGCAGCATTGCTGCTACAGAAACCAGACTTTTCATGGGGATGTGATGTAAAACAGGGTATGAAATCCTGAAACCTGAAGATCAGTAAAAATATTTAACCAGAAAGGTAAAGAGTAGTTTGGCAATACCATTTTTACCCACTGCTTCCAAATTGTCAACTGCAACATCAACCACTAACTCAGCTGCTGCTCTGGGGAATTACCTCACCGGAGGATTCCCCAGCTCAGGAGGGAAAGGAAGGGGAAGACAGTGTAGCCAGTCTAAGCGTATCATGCGCAGCATGTGGATAAATCCAGCTTTCAAGATTCTACCGCTACCACTAGATAACCTTCACAGCTATGAATATTCAATAACTTGTCTGTTTCCCTCTCCTTATGCCATCAGGAAGAAAATGGACATATACAAATGTAAGAGACAATGCAAAACAACAGAGTGTAATTGAGTAAAGATGTTTAGCAATGAATTGTCTTCTACATAGCAGTATAATACTGGCTATTTCCTCTTTAGCATTCTTATTAGGTTACACATGCAATTTAGATGTAAAAATCTTTAAAACCCATACATATTCTCATTCTCCCCCAATATAATCTTGCATTTCTAATATTCTCCTCACTCCTTCACTAGTTTTTACCTATTTGTTTTGGTTGCAAATAAAATAAGGCATCTCCAGGTACAAGACTTGAAACACCTTACGTCCAAAAACGAAAGAAAAAAAGGGAAAAAAAAGCATGACAAGTGAAAAATAAGTTATATAAATCAGATTCATTTGGAGAATACAAACAAATCAAAGTTAAACACAAAATAGAATAATATATACCAACTTCTAAATTGCCCTGCATTTATTATTGTAATTTGGATTTTTCATTTAGCAAGATCACATAGTAATTCTCCCCAAATGCTAGCTGCTCCTAGACCTTTCTAATAAATACTTATGTAAAATTTAGCACTGAGACTTCTATTACCACGAATATTCTGAAACAGCTGATATCTATAAGAAAAAAGATGCAATAGAAAAGGTTTTTGAACCTGTGGTAAATTTGCCAGCGTCAAGTCCTGCATCAAAGAATGAATTCAGGAAGACAGAGAGAGCGATACAGAAATGCCAAGAGACCTTCATGGATTTACAAATACTTCATATAAACAAATTTTCAAATAGCTTTATTCAGAGTAGCCTTTCTGCTCTATTAAACATAGCAAACAGCTGCCAGATTTATTCAGACAAATAATCAACAACCATAGAAGTAAAATGGCAGAAGAAAAAGGAATTTTGGCAACAACTCCACAGAGGACCACAGCTATTCTCCAAGTACACTTCTTCTATGTGCTCGTGGTTCTGTATGGCCAGTCAGGAGGAAAAAAAGCCCTCAGTCACAGTAAAACATACAAAAACTCTATCAAAATATCACAAAGCAAGCAAATATAAAAGCGGGGGGTGGGTAGGGGGGGTGGGGGGTGAGAGAAGCACAGTAACCTGCCTTCCTTTCACTACAACCTCAGATACAATTTTGAGAAAGGAACAGTTTAAAATAAATGTGCCACAGCCTCATTCAATCACTCACCTTGGTTTGCTGAGCAGGTATAAAGCAGAGAGGCAGGCTTTAGCCAGCAAAGGGTAAGAACAGCAAATAAGTATCAATTGGTTAAGAAAACAAAGCACAATCCTAACTTTTCACTGCAGCCATAAGCTAACCGAAAATGATCTAAGCAATATTTAAACTACTTTCTTATTCATTCAGAAATACAAAAGCAAGAAACGCTCAAAAGCAATAATTAATAATACATAGCATTACTCATTGGTGTTCTTGACTGCTTGATGGATATACTGAGTTTCTGAGCCTTACACAGCAATGAGACGGGATCCCACGGGTATATTCTCATCTCAATATGAAGAGATTTATACATGTAAATCCCCATACATTGAGATAGATGAGTAAACACTATTACATTTGAATGCATTCAAAATGTAACTGTTTATATTTTAAAATATCCAAGAATCATATCCAAATTAAGGGTAGCAGTATGGACTGTTCCATTTAACATGTGGTCAAAGCTAAGTACAATTTTCTCTGATTATTTTGTATAAAATATTGAAGTCACTAAAAGCTCCTACGGAGGTTTCTGTTTGCACTAGCATCAGAAACTTACATTCTTTAAAGACACAACATCAGAAGAATGCAGTATATAAAAGATGTCACCTCTCTCAAACGATATTCCAACAACAGTATTTTTTCATATGAAGTGTTTGAAAGGAAAAAGATTAGAATCATCTTCAAAGTAGCTGAGGAACAGGTACAATAATAGTATTTAAAAGTAGCCGTGGAATAAAGATGAGTAAAGACAGACACCGTATCAATGTATATTTGTCTTATTTCCTTAAGCCGGGGTTCCAACTTTCTGCTTTACTGCTAGTAGGAAAGACATTCACACTTCATGATAGGTAGCCAAAACTCTCTGAGCCAAAAGACTGTTTCAGGGTAAAGGGTGGGCTTTGTGCTTTTAAAGGCACACTGAGAAGCTGTCATATACCACTGCACGTCCTTTGAAAGGTATTTTTAAACTAAATAATTAGTATCAGACTGAATACTAACAGAGATTAACACAAACAACTACACTGGAAGCACTTGCTGTACGCTTGGAAACTGAAAGGCGTGCAGCCCTTTTCTCATCCAAATACATTTACTGAAGCTGCTGAAATATTTCTCACCTTGCTCCTTCTTGAAGTCTTTCTCTGACATAGTGACAGGTAAAAGCAGTTCTCCAACAGGGGGTTGAATGTTGACATTGAAATGATCATCCTTTGTGCTGGGAAAAGAGAAATTAAAGAGAATCAACCAAGTGCTTCATAGATTTTTATATATATATATCTCTATCAGCTCCAAATTTACTATGGAATCTGTAAACAGTGTAAGAACTATCTGCGTGATTTCAATATTATTAAACCAAAAGCCTGCTAATTTCTTACATCAGAAAAGTGGATCCATTTTTTCCAGTACAAATGTAGTATTATTATGCATGCTTTTGCATTTCTGAAAATGTAGCTTTTACTCATATTAATGTTTATTTGTAATCTATAAGGCATCACACTCAAACCAAATGCTTCCAAAGAACAAATTATTATGCATTTTACTATTCCTTTAACAGAACAGTTACACACAAATTCTGTCATCAGCCACAGCTGTCCCAGAAATAGGGCTAAACATAGGAAAGGTACAGTTTCAGTCAAAAACGATTATTATTGTCTGGAAAAAATGCAAATAACCCAAACAATAAATTTGGGATTAAAAAAGAAATATCCTTCATCACTTCAATTTTGCAGCATTTTGTATATTTAAACAAAAACATACAGCATCCTGGTTGATGTAAAAGCACACTAGAAAATTGCAGAATTTGAGGCAGTTTTCATAATGGCAGAGAGTTAAAAAAATTACTGCCAGTAGTAGCATACTACTATCAAATAAAGTGAAGTAAACTTCCTCTCCCTCCGCATTAAATTCTCAGAGTCTCCAAGTATCTCCTCTTGGAGTTCCCAAATCTACAGAAACTCAAGATATATTCAATCTGCTGTGTTTGACTGACTAACTGTACCATAAGGGATTCAGCTAACAATTCCGGATTAGTACATCCAATCAGAATCTTTGTTAAGGCTTTGAGGCATGAGAAATTTTTAGAAAAGAAAACTTTTTTTTTTTTCCATATGTACCAAATAGTCAACACATATTAATTGCTGATATGCCTCAGGTATCCTACTTAAATATAAGGATACAACCATTTGAATTTCCATTAATTAATTAATATCCATGGTATTTAAACACTTGTTATTAATTTTTTTATAACTCTGCAACTTCAAAATTCTGAAGTAAAAGACTGATGGAAAAAACAGCAGTAGATCAATAATATAGAAAACATATGTGTCTCCCTCCTAAAGATGCAAGATAAGCTACCTGAAAACAGGAAAGCATTTTAGGGTCCTGTTACTTAAAATTTTAATACTTACCATAATTACCCAATTTCACAAGGAAATTCTGAGGAACTAGTGCATTCCTACTTTCTGACTTCTGATGTGCTATAATTATGCTTATGGATGCAGTCTCAAATATGAGCTTTTCAAATAAAATTCAGCATTAATGCTAACTTTGTTGAAAATTATTATTTAGTAAACATACAGTGAAGCAATCAGTTCAAACCTGGCTAATATTTCCTTTACAAAGAATCACTTACGAAGTGCTGCTTTTCAAAATTTGCTTAGCTAAAAAATTCTCACTTTTTTCCCCCTATATTACTTTAAATACCATCCATCCCTAAAGTCATTAGCATACTAAAAAAGCAGGGATTATTTGACTGGCTGGCCTGATCAACTGCACTGTAAAATAAGGAAGTAATATTTTTTTCTTTAATTTTTCCTTTGAAAACTGATCAAGAATTCCATCAGCTTAAGAGCTGAAGGAAGAGTCTTTAATCAACTGCCTCATAACTTTTTGCTGTTTATATATACTACTTGTATTATATGACTAAAACTTTTAGCAATACCTTCATTGGTATTGTTCAACTGACAGTTCAACCAATTGTTCAACCAATGTTATCTTTCATATTTAAGCAAGATGTGCACTACATAATCCAGCGTAGAACAGATAAACAGTTTTGTGTACAATGATTCATGTCCTACATTGACTGGACATGCCATTTGTACATAAACTCGACTTACAACGTCAATGATTAGATTGCTCTGAAATGCTTTTAACGGTATTTTCACAATAAGAAGGAATAAAAGCATGAACATAGCTTAGGTTTCCTATGGCTGTAACTGCTTGAGAGGACCACAGGACACCACTGCTGCTAACAAACATTCCACTTCCCTTTCCCCTATTGATTAAAAAGCTGATAGATACTCTTTGATAAACCATGAACTCTTCATAGTCTGCAAGCAGAAATTCTGATTGCTAGTTGTTCTTCAAAACCACTTTGTTCTTAATTTCACTTTAGCCAGCATCTGGTTTACTTTGCATTACTTGAATTTCAGTGTACTTCAGTAAACTCATTTTTCAGCCAGAGAAAAATCAACCTTCCTTTTATCATTCTCTTTATCACACACTTTACAGGATAAATATACAGCTTTTGTTTATTGATCTGCATCTCTTTTATTACACATTTACATTTGAGATCTAGTGATATCTAATTTAACAGAAGTAATTTCATAGTTCCATAGAACAATTCAGGTTGGAAGGGGCGTCTGGAAATCACCTGGTCCTACCTCCTGCTCAACCCAGGGACACCTGAGTTCACACTGCTCAGGGCCCTGTCCATTTGAGCTCTGAGAATCTCCAAAGGTGGAGATTTCATCAGAGATCTAATGGATAAGTTTAATAATAAAATTTAGTCTTGCAGTACAACTACATAACTTCCCCCGATACCTAGTGAACTAAATTCCAGTGTATTTAACTTATTTATGTATAATTTGAATACTATAACTAGTATAAATGATGTTTAAACAAAAAACTGCAGAATTGGTTTGAAGCTTGAACACTAACATTTAAGAATCTGGCAGACAATTGGTTCAAGCCATACTGAAACTTCTCTCAGGTGGTGTTGCTCTAACTTCCCTGGAAGATCAAGCTGAAGAAGCTCATCAAAAAAAAAAAAGAGTTTCTCAGGCAAATAAAACATAACTGGCTTAATTTTCAAAAGTTAAAGATGGTATTTTCTGGTATTAGCAAGTACAATTGAAAAGTTATCTCCTTAGTGGAACATGTATGCTTAATAAGAAGCCTAGAAGGAAGCTCTAAAAGAATCAAACAAATAGAGATGTCTGAGAACAGAACCTTGACACTAGTTCGCAAGATCTGTTTTGTATTTAATTGTAAACTTAGGGACAAATAATGTTAGACATCATTACTCTTGCTGCTGCCTTAATAAATGCTAAACTGTGCATATTGTATTTTTAAAAGACTTAAACCACTTTCATGATGTAATTCCAAAGATCACATGAATTTATCTTCAGATGTACCCAATTAAGATGAACAAATGAGAGATGATAATGCTCCCACAGGAACACAGGGAGACTTACCATCTCCGTGATAAATGACGCTGCAAGACTAACATTCAATCCTTTAGAAGATGCACAGTTTTAACTCTTCTTCAGATGGCTGCAGTGGGAGCAGCTAGCACCTGTCATTTGAAACCAGTGTCCATTTTCCTTATTCCATCTCTTTCCCTCAATTATTTATTTTTTTTAAAGGATTGGTTCCAAAGCGTTCCTGGGAAAGAACCTCACTGTCACAACAAATGACTTGAGGACAACGATGGCAATATCTTTAAAACTAATACAAATAATATTATCACTTGTAAATGAGTTCTTATGAGATTCCACCAGGGCAGTCTTTAAAGTCTTAACTTTTGAAGATTTTTAAAAATTGTTATTCTAGTAAGAGGCTGGGGAATATTCTTCTTGCTATTTATATTATCCTTTTTCATTTCACTCCTCGTAGAGTAGCTGCTTGACCCAGAATGCATCTATGCAAATCCAGCTCCCTATTTTTGTCTTGTATTCAAAAAATCTCCACAGATGATAAAAATAGGAATGGAAGAGGAAAAGCAACACACTAAGTTCCTGCAAAACATGGAATGGAGAAATATAGGAGACTTTGATCATAGTCTTGCTAAAGAAAGGAAAAGATGGCATCCTGCTTTTACAAGAAGAAAGGCCAGGTTGATAGAAGAAATGAGAGTAGATGTTCATGTCCAGCCTTGCTTTTTCCAGGTCAGTTATCTATCTTGATATATTTGCTTTCTGGAACTGGGCCAACTGACTACTTTAGAGTAATGAAGTAAAGAGAAGAGTACCAGATTGCTTGTCTTCATATCCAACATCTGTAAACAACTTAGTGATCTGCTGACAAAGCACTAGGGAAGGAAACAGCAAGAAACAAGTGAATATGAAAGTGACAGTGATGTGAAGACAGTCCTGGATCTCTAACATCAGCTTTTAATATATTCCACAACATATATCCCATAACATATTCTACTACATAATTTTAATCAGGTGCTTTTGTGCTAGCACCTACACCTGAATGCATGCTTGCACTCAATACAAATACTGACTGCTACCCAACCAATCCCCTTCATTTATTCCTCTTTGTAGGTAGAAGTTCTGCTTGGGAAGATTCCCGTATCAATGAAGAGCGAGGTAAGAGAATTTCATGCTACAAAATATCTCTTCCTTGGAAAACAAAATTTAGAGCAAAAGTTTTTATGATAAGGTAGAACCTGCACACAGCAGACTGAACAAGGTTTTCAAATCTCATTCTTAAATGAAGTAAATTCCATGAAAATGCTATATTGCTCCCTCTACAGCAACCTCTTCTGAAGTAATCAGCAAAAGGCTCATTTTATAGAGTTCAGGGCAGATGAGGTGAACAGACAGCTTTCTTTTCTATTGGCATAACAGCAGCAGAAGAGTACGTATCTCAAGGACTGGAACAGGCTGCTCAGGGAAGTGGCTGAGTCACCATCCTTGGACATATTGAAAAGATGCGTAGATGTGGCATTTAGGGACATGGTTTAGTGGTGGACTTGGGAGCGTTAGGTTTGTGGTTGGACTCGATCCTAAAGGTTTTTTTCCAACCTAAATAATTCTATGATTCTATGTACAGGATCTCAGCTCTCCTAATAACACTGGGACATAGGAAATGCCAATATAAGGTAACCAGCACATACTAGTAAAAGCCTCTGTCACGTGTCACAGTATTTTCCTATGAGCTCATTATTCTGAGCAAGAATGGAAGGCATAGAAGTTGTTGCTTTCATTC